CTATTCCTACTCCCAAAATGTCACTCTCCACCCCGAAAATTGCGCCGATGAAAATAGAAACACGCAATCGCATACTGTACCTAGCCTCATACTGCTGACCTCAACACTATCCGTCTTGACTCAAGCGAGTAATCCTGCGACCTACAACAAGTCTGACCGGTCACAATCAGATCAAGACAGATAGTGACGATTTGTTGCTGACTAGCATGACTAGATGATATAATGAAATCCTCATCCGAATATACCGCCACCCTCCTAACTCCACATTACGGAAGAAATACCGCTATCCAACCAAAGCTATATTACCAAATGTTGCTAAGGAAATCAGAAACCGCCCTCTCCCCCTGATCATCTATTTCTTCTATAATCGTCCACCGATTCATCTCCACTTTCAATAACCCAACACTTCCCCAAAGTCCGCTATCGAAGCTAATGGTGAATGATAGACAGTAATGATGCTAGTAAACGTCAAGAGGCTCCAGCCCACGTCTGATGGATATTCCAATACCATCCATCCTTCACATCGTCTCAGCATCACGTCCCCTCCCGATGTTGCTCACGACCGGTCGAAGCTTCCGTAGAGGGGCTACGACAGGACTCTGGTCCTTCAACGAAATGCCAACTACGGCGATTTGCCCATTGCTGGCTTCCGAAATGCCAACCCACTCAACCGAGGCATCAAAGTCCCCATGAACGCTAGCGCGCGCCTCGAGAGTACCTGATATTTGAGAATCTATAATCGTTCGGGACAAATCGTCCAATTTCGTATATTTTCCCACGCCCTACTACCGGTATGAAGATCAATTCTTCCAGCCGCATAATCCGGATGCTCTTCAGTAGAGGTCTGTTGCCACAACACATACAACTTGTCAACGCTCGAACTCTTGCGTGCCAAACCAACCACCTCCCCTGGCGCCCTCAGCACCTTCTCAACCACCAACGATGCACCATCGTATCTAAGGTCGACTCTACCAAGATACCAATGAGGTCCACATCCCTACTTCACCACTTGTATCCACTGAGGGTGTTCTCTCGTAACGACTACCGCCTCGTCATCAGCCAAGAACTCCGCCTTAGCAACAGCACTACCGGTGTTCATACGGACGCTCATCTCAGCCGCTCCCTGGCATCTCCTCAGAGCACCATCCGACAACACAGCAAAGGTTGTGTTCGACCTGATGACCATTCAACCACCATCACATTTTCATCTCTATCAACATCCACTTACGGACTAACAGCTACATCAACCGCTCGCTCTCCAAAAGGAATCTCACAAGGCACATTGCCACCGAGTTCAGGAGAGAAAATACCACCCTGAATGATGAACGAAATATTTCATCAATGCCCAACAGAATACAAACCACCAGAGGTTTTCCTGCAACTCAAAATAAATGCTAACAAAAAATATGCCAAAATTTTCCTTTTTTTGCCTCATTTTTTTGGGAATTTATGGGGGGAAAATCCAACGAGCTTGTCAACAACGAAGTTGAACGACCAACACACACCATGTTTTCCTCAGAGCCGTTTCACAACAAGTACTCACCTCATTGCTAGTGAAGACCAAGCCGAGATCAGGGACATTACTAACCCCGGTAGGTCGGTAAAACGGCGGTAACAACGACGAGCTGCTGTCCGACTCAGTGGTCGGGAAAAATGCTGCTGATAATCTTCGAGTGAACTCACCGTTACCAAACGGGTTCGAATCGGGCCAACCTAAGGGGAAGGAAATCTTCCGCGTGCGCAATAACTCGACGAATGATCATTACCCCATCGATATCCTGTTAAAACAGCAATACCATACGCCAATCCGAAGAGCCAGCAAAAGCAGACAGCAATGCAAGCCTGGTTGAAGCTGTGCCAAGGGAGCGTCTGAGTCTTGAGAGATGCCTTATACGTCTCTGGTGCTTCACCTGAACAAAAACCACGAAAAATACCCCCACCGCGGTTCGAACCCGGGACCTCTTTCTCCTCACCATCAATAAACTCCGGACTCTGTAGTGACTTCGCAACCTTCTTAGCCTCCTCTTGCTTCTGCCTCTCAGCATCCTTCATCCATTCTACCAACACTCTATCAACAACAACAACCCAAGCCGCCCTTCCCTACCTGATGGAGTCCCCGAACGCATCCGCGATATTTTATCTCCGCGAACTTTCTCAGCAGCAGCGTCATCATCAACAACCAACCCTTCCTCTCGACTTTTCTCATACAACAACTTCTTACTCACTACAACGATGAACAGGTCACTCCAGATGCCACCACCGACACTCACTTTCCGATTCGTTCTTATCCCCAGCAGCTTCCTCCACGCTGGACTTAGCGTCCCATAGGAAAGTCTGCAGCGACTTCACCTGCTCCTCGAACCCTTGCAATACCACGGCTACTGCCTGGCAAAAGAAACAACTTCAAGATTGTCACGAGTCAGATGTTACCGTTTTCACACGGGGAAAAACATCCGAGAAACTAACGCCCCCCAACAACTCACATCAGGTCCATCCTCAGCCTTTATCTGGTCCGGCGACAGATCCTTCGGTACGGTATAACTAATCTCGCTCGTATGAACGTTGAGGAAATACGGTTTCTTCTTATTAGTTTCATCATCAGTAAATTCCAGGCGAACCCAATGGCCTGAAAAATAAATTCCAATACCATAATTTACACAACTTGCACACCTGGTGACTCGTCTCCCTCTGCATCATCATAGCGGCTTTTCGGTGGTCGCACCTCGTCGCTGGCCTGCAAAAGGAATCATAACAACTACAGAAAACATGCAGGATTTACTCTTACTCCATTGACAAGTTTCTTGCGCTCACCGATCAGTCTCGCGAGCTCCTTTCGATCGGCATTGAAAGCTGTACGCAACCTGACATGATCCGTATCTTACCATCTCAACCTCAAGATATGCTTACTGTTTCAGCCTTTTCTCCTGAGCTGCAGTGAACGAGCACTTTGTAGACATCTCCCACTCGACCAACAACTTCTGCAGCGACTCCTCCGTGTTTCTGAAGCATTCAAAAAATCTTCGCTGTGCGCAAAAGATACTCTCCACTACCTGCAGACCTTTTCCAACCTCTCGCACGCATCAACCGCATCTCTCGCATGCTCCGATGCACTTTTCTACCAACAAACATCGATGCCATATGCAAACCGCGCGCGCCCGTCTAATCGATTATTATTACCGCTGTACTATAATGAGATGTATCAATTCCACTTTTCTTCAGCTCTTCCTTAGTCTTCCGGAATGTATGCGCTTGTCTAATAACAGGTGCTGCAGGCACCGCCTTAGCCACCGGCGTCTCCTCCTTATCCTGTTTATGCATCTCTTCCTCCCCCTCTACCACAAACAACAATTATAATCGTTTTCATCACTACCATATGCTTACCTTGAACTTTCTCATCAAGCCCCAAGATATCTATACTGGTGACAGCCGTATACCTTGTAGGCACTCCCCCGTCAGTTTCCAAACCCATCACGCCCAAGAAACCAATCCAGAAGAACATGAGTAAGCAGATGAACACGAATAACCATTCGGCAACGTGAGTCGAATTGTCGAATATTTGCACCGTCGCGCCAATGGCGGCCATAACGGTGGGTAGCGAGCACAGGAACATCATACCACACCACTCCCAAGTGTTGGTATAAATGTTCATATGGATGTGTACCATCGAGAAAGCATCCAGTATGAGAACAAACGACCTGAACAATACAAATGTCGACCTAAGAATCTCGTAACCCGAACTCACCAGACACCCCAAAGATGAGAGTTAACCATGAAGTAAGCTAAACCCATATACGTGATAGCATGCAACAGCTGATTAGTGCCAATAACCTGACCACATCCGAACACTATCAATAGTATCAGCAATTCCCTACTGCTACCACTACTACTACTACTACTACTACTACTACTACTACTACTACTACTACTACTACTACTGCTACCACCACTACTACTACTACTACTACTACCACCACCACTACTACTACTACTACTACTACTACTACTACTACTACTACTACTACTACTACTACTACTACTACTACTACCACTACTAGTATTACCATGCACACCCGTGTGTAAGCGTCAAAGCCCTGCCAGTGTTGCTGTAGTTGATAAAAGAGATAGAAATGCTCCAGGAAGAGGTTGTAGTCGCCAACAAGCTCATCACGGACATATGCGTTACTCATATCTATCTCTTGCTGAGAGAAAACAGAAGACGATTATAACAATAACATCAGCTTGACGTAGTATAAGGAAGAGCCCGCCACAAATAAACGAATACTATTGGACCAATCTCACGTGCTTCCAACGACAGCAACTTCCACTAGGAAGGAGATAAACGTGGTTGATAAGAAGTTCACATAATACAGTCCTAGTTAAGGATTTTTGTAGAGTCGGACACCAACCTATTCCGTATCTTCCACACATGAACCTAAGATACCTCCATGATATTACCTCCTTAAGAGCATCTTCCAATTTCCCTCCTCCTTGTCTTCGAACTTCGCGACCAACTTCCTTTATCCCAGGCACTCGACTGAGGAGCGCAGAAATATACTATAAAACCAAAACGAATTAAAATCCTGCATATACACACCACCGGGTTTCCCCCCATACCGCACCTTACCCAACTATAGGGATACGAAGCATTTCCGCGACCCCACCACGCTCGTATTCAACCGCGCCTATACCGGTAGTAGCATTGATGTTCTCGCGACCAGGCACGGGCAAACGCAGCCATTGCGTAAGAAGACGCACCTAAGCAGCGCACCGCGAAGATTTCGAGAAAAGATTCCTCCTGAGAATATCTTACAGCAAACGTTTGCGCTGTGATGGAGGCGTGAATGGCGAAGATGATGGAGAGCATGAGGAATAATACAGCCGTGCCGAGGGAGAGAATATATAACCAAACCAACCATCCGGGGGTACCTGAGGGGTAAAATCTGATGAAAAAATGGTAAAACCTATATACGAGCCAAGAGGATTGCAGAAAATCGCCATCACTTATATACGATTGGGAGTAGTGATTCTGATGGAAAGAGAAGGATAATGGAGTTTCACGGGCGGCCGTGATATGAAAAACACTAGTGAAAAACACATTTCACGACTACTGCATGTCACCACGAATATCGCGTTTTTCACCGAGTTTCACGCCACTCTACGTAAAACGGGTCGTGAAACTCCAATATAAAACATCCTCCAACAGCTCCTCGAGATACTCATCACTTGACCGATACCATACCTTGAGGAACTCGTCCTTCGTAGAAGAAGCCACCAGTGAATGCCAGCATGAGCGTATTCACAATAAGATAGTTGTCCATTTTAGAGATAGTAAGGTCGAATAAATCACGGATATCTTCACGGTACAATCTAACTTGGTCAAAACGAGCCTTCTGCGTATGATACACCTGAGGATGAGTGTAAAAGATTCAAAATAGGTCCGATTAAGGCCTATATCATAATACCCTCTTCTGATTGATCTTCCTATTGAACATAAAGTTCTGCCTGTTGTACTCAAAGATGCCTTTGACACCCTCGAGGATAGATCCAACTTCCAATCCTCCCATTGTAGTATTTGCTCCTAGTCAAGACGAATGAAGGATGTGGACTCAAGCAGAAAGTAGAAAGCTGATTATTATAGCATCGAAGAGTGAATGACTTCGCTATAGTCCAAAGGGACCACCCAACAATCACAAATCTCTGCAGTGGTAGTCAGCTTAGGACGATTATAATAAGTGAGCTAAAACGTCGCAATGTCCGACAACGGAATAAATTACGCATCTTAAATCGTCGATCTACTAATAGCGCATGTATAGGGAACAGTTTTCACCTCCCTATACATGATTTGTGAGTGTTTGGAGCGTCATTCGGAAGCTATCGGCATGGCAGACTCCGAAAGTTATCTCTGTTACTCATGAATCGTCACGCGCCACGAAATTCCGGGGGGTTCTGTATTGCAGCACTTCGAACCTTCGTTTTCGTGCCATTAGGATGGTGTGGGGTCGGTATGCCATATATACGACAGCGGTTATATATCGCAGGTGTCTGGCATAGCGGCCCCAGAGCGAAACCGAATTTCGTCACGCCAAACCGTACCGTAACGTAATCGCGCCCATCTCTATAGCATCATCGCATCACTTTATATTATCAGTGGGTTCATTTACATTTCCCATCAAATGCTAGCCGCCGGCGGCTTCTACCATGCACTTCTATCCAAACACTATACAGGGCCCCAAAGAACCGTTAAGGTCGTTTACAGTTCTCGGACGGGTACCTCTATGAAGGCAGCTAGGCGGCTTAAGGCTGCCCTCGAGTCGAGCACGACTCGGGTAATTCTACTTCCGATCGATCAATATGCCTATGAGGAACTCTGTGAAGAATCGTATCTCGTGCTTTTACTTTCGACCGATTCAGAGGGGTCACCTCTGCCGAATGCTAAGAGTTTCACTGAGCAGTTGAAGGATGCTGTCTACGACTTTAGAGTTGATAAGAATTTGTTGGAAAAGTGTCGAGTGGCTGTTATTGGATTCGGATCGGAGGAGTATCCGGCCAAGTACTATTGTAAAGTAGCGAAGAACTGCGATGACTGGTTGGCTAAACTGGGCGCTCAAAGAATATGTCCTTTACTCTGTGTGAATGACGCTAAAGAGGTCGACAAGCAGGTCGGCAGGTAGTAGTACATGGGAGCTCCTCATGGGGTTGATAATTTAGTCTTAGATGTATCGATTTGATCACGAAGGCGTATAGCAGAATGGACAAGGCATCCTCAGAGGCACAGACTGCCGACCTCGAAGATGAGGTTGGGTCGGTGGCATCTGAGGAATCTACCAGTGATACTGATGATGATGTTGAGGATGCTAGTGGTAGTGTGGGGGGGAGTAAGGATGCCGAATTATGCATTCATAGATCTTTGGTTTGCTTTTGTTGGACTAGTTCGATAAGTTGGGTTTTTTGGTGGAAACAGAATTATACACAAAATCTGATATGGTAGATCATACGAGTCACAAGTGAAACGTTCACCAACCCTAACCACTCAAATAGGTTAGGTTTTGTTGAAGTAGCGTGTGTGTGTCTGGTAAAATGGATATGATTCGTGGCTTCCTTGCGTAAGGTCGGTGGTTCTAGTCTTGGATGCGGTATTTTGTGCAGAAGGATGTGGTAGCAATCGTAAGGAGATGGTTACTAAGAAGCATCGAGCGGCTCTCACAAGAGAAGGATACCGTCTTGTAGGCAGCCATAGTGCAGTGAAGTTGTGCAGATGGACGAAGCATCAGGTCATATAGGGTGAAAATGGTGGTAGCAGCAATATATGCAGTGCATCTACTCACGCTTAGTTGTGCGTAGAACGCAGATTTGCACACTGATCTGGTGTGTTCCAACCTGTATCTCGGCGTATAACTCCTCTGTATAGCTGTTCGATATCACTACTGCCTCTTTCTTGAGGAAGTTGCACATGGAGTGGTATCGTCATTGGAGTTGTTGATGGACTTTGTATTCTAATAACGGATGGTATTGGAATATTTACAGTAGTTTATCTTGTTAAAGCAAAGGTAAGAGCTATGTTAAGGACACAGACGGCACGTTGTTGTTAATGATCAGGGATAGGGAATATGCTTGTCGGGATGTAAATGCGGGCGTGCAATGCGACAGAGGGGGGGTGTGATTAGGAAGAAATGTGGTATGAGTTTTTGGTCAGGGAAATATCACTACCAAAGCAATGAGAATGTATATGAGGAGGTTTAATGTTTGTTGTTGATGGTATAGGTCCGAGGACGAGGGGGGTGTTATAAGCATTCCTTCTATGGCATCGAGTCGCATCAATGCATGGAGGCTACTGCTAGTCTAGCATGCGCTAATAAGTGTGTATTCTGTTGGAGACACCATCGGAACCCAGTGGGCCGGTCATGGACGTGGGCTCAGGACCCTCCGGAAGAGGTAGTAGGGTTGGGAAGTTGTCGCGCGCCACGAAATTCGCTAATAGTTGGCTTCAATGTTGAAAGATCTAATTCTGAAGTGATGCAGTTTTCCGGAATAATTCTTTCTCGAGCGATGCTACTGCATGTGTTTTTAGATAGTAGAGGGTTGGCTGGGTAACCATAGTGGTCTGATAAAGCAGTTAAAGGGCGTCCCCGGGGTCACACCTGAACGCTTTGAAGAGGCTAAGAGAGTCCGTCATTGCGCTTTGAGTCTTGTTGGTAGTAGCGGGGGGAGTATTATCGGTGGTAGTAGTCGTCCTGAGAAATGCTCGATGTTGGATAGTTGATAGAATGAGAAACCTTCGGCTGGATGGTGCACTGTTGGTGATATTTTGTGAATAGTGTGCAGAGTTCCCATGGGAAAAGTGTTGTTTTGAATGGAGTGGACAACTTTAATTCGTCTATGGTCATTCGTGTTGTCAGGCGAGCCGATTATTTATCCCCAAATCAATACGGCGCTGGACCTCCTACATCAAAATGGTATATCGACGTTTATGGTCACCAATGGACAGTTCCCGGAGGCTATAAGATCGCTAATTCCAGTGACGCAGTTGTAATAGCGGTTGGAGGGATCGAACTTGTGCGAGTTCTAGTAGAGGGACAGTGTGCAGTGCCGCTCGTCCACTAGAGTATTTTGGATAGTGCTTCGTCGAGCTAGTTGATGACGATGACATTGGATGAGTCACTCAGGATTGAAATTGCGACCAGGGCGGTTTTGCGAGTCTTTCAATACCAGTAGCAAATATGAAGCTTGAGCGTTGTGGAATCTTATCGTTCTGAACTTCGATAAATTTGGGCATATGTTGATGGTTGCTGTTGTTAGGTATGTTTCCGTTGACGCGTCAAACGCTAAGGAGATGAAGGCGATCGATCGGCCTTTATTTGAGGACTTCTGGGATCGCTTTATCGACTCGTTGACAGCCCTCAAGCACAAGAAGCAACGCACTGTGTAGGAGTATCTTTACTCTACTCGGTGTGCTTGGGGTGAGCTGAGATATGTGAGGTTAGGTACCGCATGACGCTGGTGAAGGGCTACAACATATCGGCGGCCTCGGAATATGCGGAGTTGCTGCACCTAGGACACCCACATTTTCTGGAGATTAAAGCGGTTACGTTCTGTGGCAAGGGAGATGGGTCTGCCCAGATGACCATGGAAAACGTAAGGAGGTTGAGGAGGGCGCCTTTGGTGAAAATCAAAATATTGGATTGCCCTCGAAGAATAGCAAATGGTGGCGGATCGCGTTGATTCGATTAACGCGTTTGGGGGTAGTTACTTGACTATGTTGGAGTTAATATTGTGATGATACACGTTAGGTTCGCCCAGTTTCAAATCGGGGAAATACTTCTAAGCCGCTCTTAGGGTGTTCTTGTTGAGTGGTGTATGGGGTCCATCAGGTACCTTGGTTCGATGAAGTAGTTGAGTTCGCTGAGGCTATGTTGGATTCATCTGATTGGGTGAAGGAGCGGTATGAGATCGCGTGTACTCATCGTCATTCCTGTACTGTATTGATTGCTCAGAAGTAAGTGTGTTGGATGGGCAACTAGGGATAAATTACCAACAATAGCATTCCGGGAATCTGCGTTTTGTATATGTTGAGCGTGGTAGTATGAAATTCGGCGAAGTGATGGTATTGATTCGAAAAGCTTACTTTTTATTCGTTCAATTACGCCTCGCTAGTGACCTTGACAGTATATAGACCGACCGAAAGTGAGGCACCGGTCTGTGTTGGTTTTCAATCGAGCAATAGCTCTGTTCAGAGATGTACGCCTTTTCTCGATGAGGGTCTTAGCCTTTGAGAATTTTAGCGGGCCCAGTTAGTGCGGTATAACTCCTCGGTAGAGTCCTGATAGGTCCTTCAAAGTTGATGGTGTATGGCATACGTGGATAAACTATGATAAGTTCACTGAGCTGGCATTGGAGTACTCTAAGACTGGCAAGCCCTTCTCAGTGGAGGACTACTGGGCTCCTACTCCTGCGTGGGCTGTGTACGGCGCCGAGGTGAGCTGAGATAGAGCTCAGGAGAGGTGATGTTGTTGTGTTCAGGAGGAGGGGTTTGATCCTGAGATGAAGAGGCATTATCGAAATGGGAAAACAGCAGAGTTGGGGAAGCAAATTCGAGCGCGACAACTGCGCGAGGAAAGAGAAAAAGCTGCTGAATGTGGGTTTGGGTCCTTGGCGGCGCAGGGCCGGGGTCTGGACCGCTCTAGTGTTGATAGCTATTTTGTGGTCATCTCTACGGTGATATTATGTGGTGATGAAGGCAACTTGAAAGAAGTGTGGTATAGTAATTGAATTATTAGAACACTGAACAGTGGGGATTAGGTTGCAAGTGTAATTTTCATGTGACGAATGAGTTCAGGTGGTAATCCTGAAGGTTGCTGTGGAGGAGCTTGCCAGGGTGAGTAACTCGATTGTTGTTCAATAGTTGACGTTTTCGCTCTTTGAGGGGACAAAAGTTGTGTTGAAAAGTTGTTGTGGTATCTCATCTTTCTTCAGCTAATCCCCAACGGGTACAGTACGCGCAGTCTTAAAATCCAATTTCGTGTGGCAGCTCTAACTTCTTAACTACTGTTCATATCAACCTGAAAATTTGTATAGAAATTATCCGAACATGATTATATTGTTTGAATATGTCACGGACTCGATTTTCGACTTCGACTTTTCGGATATGTAAGGCGATAATACCAGGTGATCGGCTGGATGAGTTTTTCAGCGCTGTCGTCTAAGTTTTCGTAGTAATATCGTTATGTTAGTGATCTAATGATCGAATTATTTTCATGTAAACACCAAACCGAAATATGATAATCTCAAAAATTGGGGTTTCGCGCTGATGACGGGGAGATTTGGTAAGATATTCGTTTTAGTTGTACTTCGAAACTGCGGTCGAAGGTTGGTTGAAATGGTAAATATGATATATTGAATTTCAAGCGGTCATTTTGAGTATGACACATTCGTGAGATCACGAGTCATAATTACCGATTACGTCGGACGGTCTGAAGCAGCCAGTCTCGTCTGGTGATCCTCACGACTAACACGACCCAGGGTGGAACTCGTCTCAGAAACGAAATTTACTTTTTATTATGCGATAGTTGAAAATTGATAGTAGCAGGTTATTGGTAGCGAAGAGCTTCCATGGCTGGCAGGGAAAGATATTTCACATGCTGTACGCTTCTCGGACATGTGACCGAAACGAACAATAAAAAAAACAAATTTCATCAGATGCTCACATTCGGGAGTTGCTCCTCGAAAAGAGCTATTCAGAGCCGTTCGATAAGAGGTATCCATAGATCAGTCTTCTTTAAACTACTACTCCTCGTGTGCCACTCCATAGGATAAGTGCTCATCTTTAGGAAGGGGAGCGCTCAACGATGAGTGAACTATCGTTGATGTTCTGTTGAAGAGGAACACTCGCCCCTCGTGATTGAAACCTGTACCATTCCTCTCACCTCGGAGTTTGAAATCAGCATACGCATAAAAGCGTCCCCAGTTCAGCCCGTCTCGGGTGTACATGCGCAAATAGAATATTACTTCCAAGAAAAGGCCTCTCCTGCGTCCTTTTGCACGCTGGACTATTTTCACCCAGCCAGGGTGGTTCGGTCCTCGAATGTAGGCACGAGCTTTACCAGTACTTCTCGAGTAGGCTCTCACCGACCCCCAATTCGGAACATGCGCCTTAGTAGCTAATCTCGTACGGAAGGTAAGCTCCTTGATATGTCTTCTGAACGGAGGTATATACCCGCCGTGTGCTCTGAAGTAGGGGATGTGGAACTTTATGGTGAGCTTCCTCTCACTGGGGAGACTAGCACGGAATAAGAACGTCCCGCTTGCCTCGGGAATATCAAGACTCAACCTTCTCGGAATGGACGAGTCTATCTGGAAGACCACGACCAATTCATTGTCATCAAATGACTTCACAATTGAGCCCATACGGAGCTGAGTCGAACTCTGGCGGGCATACAAACAGCTCAGGCCGGTGTGCTGCAAGCAGCGAGGTGGGTCCTCAAATACAATAGGTGGCGGAGGGCAATCAAGCTTAGGCTCAACCGGACCGGGCTGGGGAGGACTGGCATCACTTACTCCGTCAGCGTAGATCGAGATGGCGGCGTAGATGATGAGGATGAGCATTCGCATGATTCACCTCGTCGTCGAGATACAATAATAATGCCTGTTTGAAGATAGCTATGATGTGTAGCGTCTCTCCGTGTACTCACGTGACACGCGTCCGTAGTTATTGGTCTCTGATCATCAAACGACTGTAGGGCAGCTACTCGAAGACACCCTTGGCGGCAGTCAATCTTCACGGAGAGAAGTCGCAATATAGGGTGCAATCAATACGCTTCACCGAGTACGCTCTTTTGAGTAGATCGCCCTCCAGGAGTAGAGGAGCAACCTGAGTTGTGCGTGATTTGCTCGGGGACGCGTGAACCGTCACGGCTCACCCGTGATAGACATTGAAAGCTGATGGCGCGGTTCATTCTCCGTAGTAAATCTTCACGGACGAGAATTCCTGCTTGTCTCGGGATCCCCCAGGCGTCGCACAGATTATAGGTTGTGCTTCATAATGGTTTCAAATTAGTTTTGGAGGTTGGCTCCCTGCGGCAGATCACACCTTCTCCCGGGATTTGCCCTACGATGAAGTGATAGCCTATCACTGGAAAGCATCTGAAGTAGCATGCTGCACATAGGTCTACAGTCTGCTGTAGTGTATGATGCCTTCGAAGCCTTGCTTTGTGAAGACTCTCTGTTCTCGATCCTCAGCGGGCCTGTGAATTCGTTGATCTATTCCCTTCACGAAGTTTCAAAGTGAGAAGCTTTCGAGCGATCCTCAGAGACTAGAGGCATCATAAACGCGCTATATGTGGCATTTAATTCTCAATCACGACGTAGTTGATCTCTCTTAAATGAGGGCGGAGTTCCTCACCGACGGCTGGGATACCCAGGATGAGGTTATGGTTGTGAAGCAACCACCGAATAAGTAATATACCAATTATTTGTATTTTCTAAGGCTGCTGTCATACCACGCCTCGTTGAAATCACCACGATGATATGGTGAAGCAGTTCCTTATTCGTGATGCAGGAGAGCTGCTGATGTTTGGTATCTAGGTGGATGTTTTGGGATCTCCCAGCGGGCCTATGGGTATCTGATATATCTCTTTTCCTACAGAGAGCTCTTCCAAATGGAATTGACGATTCTAGAGTGCTTCGAGGGTACTAAGGGACTACCGGGATAGTCGCATGACTTTATGATTTACCCCTTGTAAGAAAATCATCTTGAAATGGGGTGGACCGTCATTGAGTCGACCTGTTCCCTCGATGCCGCCTTGTTCGCTCCTAAGCAGCAAGTGGCGATAAGTCTTTAGTGTTCTCGGCTGACCTGTGTTACACAGACTATTGCAGCACGTGTGTTTACACCACACATGCTATGTAGAGTTGAGGGCCTCCAGCACGATCATGTCATTTCAGATGTTTCTTGGAAACAGCTCTACCCGATAGTCTTATATGGCGACCGGTTAAGGATCTACCAGGTGAGAACTTCTCCGTCTACTCTAGTGCTCGCTACTGCACGAGATTACACTCAGTTAAATTCGGATAGAGATTCCGAATTTCGAGACCAACGTATGATGTTCCGCTCATAAGTATCATAGAAATGCTCTCCAACTGCTTGGAGTGGTTTTTTTTCATTCAATGTTACTCAGGAGAGTCTTTTTTCTCGACATAGCATTTGATAATCAATCTGAATAGCTGAGAGTTTGAAACTCAAATCTCCACTTGGCAAGGCATGGATGACGCTCTCCTTTCTCTGTTTTGGTTGTTCTACGGGGATTTGCGTCGCGATCGCGTATGAGGAAATCATAGCAGCGGATGTAACATGAGTGGTAGACTGGCAGAGCAGCTCTGCCTTAGTAGGCGGTCTCATGATTGGAGTCTATCGAGAGTAGAAATGGGGTTACATGGTTCAAAGCACCTCTCACTAGCTCAGTAGGGTAGTATTCTGGGTTGTCATCCAGGTGTCCCAGGTTCGAACCTCGCTCTAGGCATTATTGCATATAAAGTTGGAATTTCAGTGAGCTCCACCCCTTCACACCGAAGCCCTAGTTATTAGATATGGGAGTGACCCTTGTTGCTGCGCTCACTTGCTCATCCATGGAGCCTCGACCATGCAGTTGCATAGACGTCATAGTACAAAAAACAAGAAAATTGAGATTTTTTCCGAATATTTTTCTTCCCTTCTGATCAACGCCGTTCGGCATTCCCCCTATATTTAGCAAGCAGTGTGGGAAAATATGCACATGGTCAACTACGTGGATATGGGAATTCTGAGGAAACTTTGGGAAATTCTTCTTAATTTCTATACACTTCTACCCGAGCTCGTACGAATAAAAAGACTCACAGAATTTTCCAAAAATTTCCTGAAAATTTTCTATATTTTCACAATCATACGTCGTCAAGCATGTGCAAACTCTCCCACACTTTTTGCAGGTATCGGTGTTAAGCGGATCGAGAATAAATGTATCGTCGCTATCGTTGCTTGCAAAGACTATCAGAACGAATTCCGCGTTCGAGAAGAGGGATTTCGAGAGCGGTAGGATTTGATGCTCAGTTGAGAGCTGTATTGAATGTTGATCTCAGGTGGGAGGAGATGGCGAGACATTTAGAAGACGAAATAATACCATGTTTAATCGTCCATCGGAATTCTCCTCGAATGTCAGCACGGGGCGTAGTCGATCGAGTATTGGAATATATGTTCGCTTTCTTAACCGAGTTTTGCAATCTCCTCACTAATTATGGAAATCGGGTGAAGTGTACAGAAATCAACAAGAATTTGCCAAATTTTTCCTCTCAGAATTTTCACTGTAGTTGACCATGTGCATATTTCCCCCCATCCTGTGTATTTGATCGACCTGAAATCACTTAGTTTCGTATCTCCTTTATGAAGACTGCGGATAACAATGATTATAATAGTGAACTGTTGATAGTACTGAATTTGATCATTTGTCATTATCAGAAGTAGCAGCAAGTGCATGTGAACAATCTTCCCTAATTTCATTCGCTGTGCATCGAACATCGCTCGAGTTGATGAAAATGAAACCATGTTGGGATCTTTCTTTACTCCCCAGCTGCTAGTTTCTCCTCATCTGCAATTCCGATCTCGTCGAGTCGTTGTAATACTATTTTGTTTCAAATCCTAGTATTTTTTTTCAAAAAATTATCACTTATTTTTTGCATTTTTTTCATCTTGTGTGTTTTCGGATGACTACGAGCCCTTCCACTGAGCGAAATGGTTTGTTGCTGCTCAGGTCCCGTGAATGGACAGATTTTATTATTTCCAATCTGTTACCCCGGAGATCGCGAATACCGTATCCTCTCCCTGTAACCTCTCAACCGCATCCTCGAACGACAGCACCCCAACCCTTGCAGATTCGACCTGATCTCATGCCCGGTGGTGAGATGTGCCGATTCACATGCGCCTGAATTCGCCTTGCTTTTCAGACAATGCCGTATGGCGGGCCCGATCGAGATCTCCTAGACGTTTTTCATACTAGCACTTGGTATTTGAGTTTGAAGTCTCTTTGATACGTTGAACGACAATAGTTACAATCTGTCGCTGCTCTCGACGATTACTACTGTGTGGATTCAGAATTCTGGTATATTCGCTCTCCATAGAGAACTCTCTGATTACTGACCACATGAACGAAGTGAGAATGAGATCTATGAAGGCGGCCTGCAGTAGATTAATTTCTGTGCGTCAATCAAGCCCATCTTCTTCTTTTTTGAGTTTAATGTCGGGTCTTGCAGTACCCCTCTCTGAGTTCACCGAGCCCGGGGCGGACCCAGTAGCGATTATACAGCGGTATCGGCGTAGGGGCGTGCCCATGACGGAACTTGTGAAAAGTTTCAAACGCCATGGAAACAAGGTTTGGTGATAATCCGAAATTCGCTAAGACTCCTCGGTAGATACAAGAAGAGCTAGTGCAGCTGATCAATGACCATTACAGCGAATTCATCGGTCTGTCCACGAAAATGGAGGAGGTGGGTGGTGCTGTTGTTAACGCATCCCGCGACTCAGGTTCGATCCTCAGCGAGTGCACTTTTAGGTCTCCCGTAAGACGGCACAGCTTCGGCCTCCTTTGAGTGCAGCATTGAAATCCTCTACGGCATCAACTTCGTCGGTGAAGGAACAGGTCGATAAGGCGGAGGCTCTAATGAGGAAGAAAGAAGACATTCGACGTGAACGACGAGTGAGACGCATGTTGGAGATAATCGCGAGAAAAATATTTTTTGCCGGAATGTCTTCGCTGAAATCGGGAAAATCAAATACCAATACCTTTGCATGGTTTGTTGGAAAAATTTTGTTATACCGAATTGTATGGTCAGTACTTCTACACGAAGTTATTCTGAACTTGGCGAACTATTCGGAGTCCCTCTGAGGGGAGTCTTCTTGCAGCCTTCCCGTACTGGGTCACTCGCATGGTCATTGATGAGTACATAGACAATGACCTATGGAAAGTTGCCACACGCCCTTTCCTCAGCTACTGGGCCTGTACTACGAGAATCGTTCACTATTGAAGAAGATTTCTGATCGTTTACCCGACACTTCTTCTTCTTCCTCGTCCCCCTCTACTGATCGTCTCACTCTGGCCGGGTATGCAGCTTTGGAAAACAGCGCCATCGAACTCACGAGAATCGAATTGGCATTGACGGAGACTCAAACGTCCCCGACAGGTAAACAGGCACATTGGGAGTCTGAATAACTAAGTCGTTCATCATACCGCACCTCAGTGAACATACCCATGATTGATCAGATACCGTTGAAGTCTCCGAGGCTACCACGTATATCGAGGGCTTGCGTGGAGATTTGGCTACTACACGTGATCAACTACATCAGACCCTTTCGCGAGAGTGAGAGTTATCGAGCTCATCTCATCGTGTTTCCTCAACTCTACTCTACTAGACTCGATCGTCTCCTGAAAGTATTCGCTGAGGCTCCTTCTGAGGACTCTTCCTCCGTGTCGTCAATGTGCTTGGTAGCGACCTGCAGAGGGCTGGTAGGCGGGATAATTTCGTGGCGCGCGACATTTTATCTTCTTAGATTAATCTTGGGCACACTAGTGACATTTGGAGCTCCGTTGTGAGTATTATCGTGGAAGAGCAGTTGCGAGACATTGCTGGTGGGTGGGGATCCCCGGTTCGATCCCCGGGTCCGACATCTTGTATCGTATCAGCTTCGGAACGAGGAGGTCTGATCGCCGCCTCCTCCTCCAATGCTTCTGTCTTGCTGGGTCCGTATTTTGAAGAGGTGAAGGCTGTGTTCGAGAGCCAGACCAACGCTTTGGCCAAATTGAAGGAGTGTTTGAGTTCTGTTGAAGGCTTGCATTTATTACCGGGTAGCAAATAACGGCACCGGGGGTCGAACCGAGGGTCTAATGCATGTCAGCTGGAGCCTTAACTCACTGGACTAATTATATATCTGATATTTGGCATCGCTCATTAAATAGATTTTTCCCTTAGAGTGCCTCCTCCGTCCTGTATTAGAAGACGTTCAAGTACGGGTCCCCTCGGTTTTCATGCCGACTTACCCCGTGCAGTTCGCTCAGAACTACGCGTCTACCCAGGCCTTTATAAGGGATATAGGAGCTGGTCACGAGGCATATCTAATGACGGTGAGTAACAGCAAACGATACGCTCACCAGGATTAGAACTCGGGACCTTCCTCTTAGGTGTCGTGGCTGACTACATTCGAAAGTAAATGGAAAACTAACGTGTGGGGTTACGGTTGCTTTCTTCAATTTGTTCATTCGGTTTTTCAGGTACTTCTCGTTGCGACAACGTGAAATCGCTCAACAAGTTCGAAAGGAGCTTTTTACAAGAGAAGACAATCCTTTGGTCTTGCTTCGGTCGCAGGTCAGTCCTATAGTGGGAAACCCTCGAGTAACTGATCTCATTGTTAGATATGGGAGGAGTCCGGGGCCTTGGCTCAGCTGATGCCACAGTTGATACCGAGATGCCTCCATCTCACTTGTGATCTCCTTGCGGCCTGGCAGGGGCATATTGCTGCTAGAACGACATCAGCATCAACAAGTATCATTTTATCTGTCGGTGCCGCGGAGGAACCTAAGATATTTCTCAGGTCCCGGCCTGTCATTGTCCTTCTGTAAGGATCTCAGCGACGTTTCGACTCAATTGGACCCTCAAGCAGCTGAAGGGTTGGGCGCTTTTATGATTACTCTTGCTGGGAAGGAGATGACAGAAATCGGTAAGCCACAGACATGCAGGAGTGAAAATAACATAGGAGAAAAAATAACGATTTTGGAAATTCTTTATAGGGGCTGGGCTGAAGATGAATCGCTGTTTGGGAATGTATGTTTCCAATTTAAACTCTCAATCTGTTCAGTTACTCAACTACTGCATCTCTGCATGGACCGCCTGAAGCGGCAGGCGGCCGAGGTCGAGGCCTGCCTGATAAAGTCCCTCCTCGACGCTGTTGGTAGCTCCTCTTTCCGATTACTCACATGCATCTTGTAGTTTTACTTAGTCCCTAAACTTGAAGGTGTAAAACAAATACCGGTGCTGTACCGTATGACGGCTAAGGCGGCCCCAACGAGTCACAGCGCGTATGTGGACAACGCCAGTGGCGTACTCATTGATTTCAAACACGAATACAACAAAGATCAGTAAAAACGTGTCACCACACTTTTCTGCTGTGATAGTCGTTGGAATATGTCTGCGCTCAATTTTATCCTCCCCTTTTTCCCATTCTCTCGTTCGTTCCTCAGTCCAGATGAAGTTAACAGAATACTGATCGCAGTGGGTGATAAATGTGCCGAAGAATTCGCGAAGCGATGCAAAACTGTGCTCGAAAAGGAAGAATCTTTGAGTCGGTTTACACACCAAACAAAAGGTGAGTATGCGTGACCACTAATTTCCATCATCGATGCTTTTCAAGGTGCGGCGGCATCTGATCTGTCTGATATCGATAAGCTGCGAGCCCAGCTGTGGTTGGATACTGCCTATTTTATAGCTGCTCTACCGGAGAGCGACTCCTCGAGCATCCGGACCCTCCGAGAGACGACCAAGTCGGGAAAACTCGTTACTGATAAATATATAGAAAATTCCGATTGAAGTATATTTTCATGAGGAGTGTGTCGAGTATGATAGTAACCATGGGGTCATGCTGAGGATACAAAGTGCCCGCTGCACACTTAATCGGGAAGTACGTGTGTTTCGAAGAACCGCAGCGTCTCCCTCACTATCTTGAATGATCGATGCAATTTATAGACAAACACTCTTTAGCACAAGGCATCCATTGCAATGAGTTCACAGCATCAATCTGGGCACTAGCGGGAATAATACTCCCGGAGAATGCTACAAAGTTATAACCATCGTTGATGCCTGATTCAGCCTCAGCTCGCATGATTTTTAATCGTTTTCCAACGAGTTACTCTATTTCCTTCGAAAGGTTATATTCACAAGTATCTTGGTGATTTCATATTCTACTGGCGTGTGGGTCTGTTCAGACGATATGCTCAAGCTGAGATGATTGATGAAGTATTTGAGCCAAGCGAGAGGACAAAGCGTATGACGAAACCAGTCTTCGGAGATCTATTGCTTCCATCTTCACGAGCGCATTGTCAGAAGTGGCGAATAAACGCAATACGTAAAAGGTCGAGTGACCTCATCGGCATTACTCGGATGTCGGTGGATTAAACTTCGATGAAACTCTGAAACCTCATCGGCATCCACTACACAGCGCCTATCATGCAATGGTCCACACTCGAGTCAATCAAAAAGAACACACGTTATGATGGCATCAAATGCCAATAACAAAAAGATTCAGTCGATAGAGACATCACGCACAGGGAAGAATATCTTCTACACCGAATCGGTGGTGGCTGTAGTAGTCGAAGTTGACGGAGATGCATTGCCGCAGCCGTAGACGTATTTCTCCAGCCACTCCTTGAGCCTCTGGTCACCTTCAGTTCCTCTGATGAGATCTTCACGCATGATCTGTGTGATGGGAAGGCCTTCGTCAACACCAGAGAAGTCGTTGTTCGCCTGTCGTTGCTCAGCATCAAGCTTCTCCAATCGCCGCTTTTTGTGGACAGCTTGTAGCTCGCTACGAATCCTCGCACAACTTGGCTACCATAACACCAACGTGAAACAAGCACATGAACTGAACATACCTTACATCCGCGGTATTGCGTATATAATCAGAAGAGGATATCCTCTCGTGGCGTCGAGCGGCCTCGGCAAGTCTACTGGCCGCTAATTTAACAGTCTCCATCACGGAATGAGGCTCCCCCACAGAAACCTCTTGATGAGCAGTCATTTCATGCGTCGGCATTAAGATTTGGACGGAACTCTGCGTCGTGCGGTTGCTGATTAAGGTTGGCAACGTTCATGCATTTGCAAGAAGTATTGATATCTTGGAAACGGCAGCGACATAGAATACTGACGATCATGCGTGTATGTGAAGTCCAAGTCCAACGCCGATAAGATGGCTTAGTAGATTCGCATCGATGCGCATTAACTGACGAGGGATCAGTTAAGCCTTCTCAAATTGCCTCGTTCATTACGCCAAGGAATGCTGTCCACAGGGCGAGATAACCTCCGCCAAGATACTCCCTTTCCTCTCGGCAGGATCCGCTCCCACAGCTTCGGGGGCTGCGTAATGACCACGAAACACAAGGACTTGCCACAGTGTGGCGACCGCAAGGATCATCTCCGAGACGCGAAAAGTCCATAGTATCGACTTTTCGGGTAAGGACTCCATAACCTAGCATTAGTCATCCCTCATCGAAGACTAACATTCTCGCGGAGAATTTCTCGATGGCAGAAGTGTATACTTCTAGTTGCGTTCCCTCATATCACTATCGAATTTGTGAAGGTCAGTTTCTCACTAGTATCGAACGTGGATCTTCTGATAGTCACGAGTACTGTATACTACAAACGTGGGTTGATGTTACAGGCTGTAACTTACAGCTCTCACAAACTCACTAGCTCTTACCTTACATTCCACGTAAGTACTCCTCGTACGATTCCGGGAAACACAACATAACAACACAGACAATTTCCACATGCATTCCATAATATTATGTCTTCAAGATAGTCAACCTGGATGCTTCTATACCTCACGTGAAGCTCTACCACTGAACCATGTCACCTAAACTTAAGTATTTCGTAAGAGCACTGACCAACTCGAACTCATTGTAGACAAGCTCGTACAAGACCTTCTATAGCTACATCTCGTTCCACTTCATTAGTGTACATCAAGAATCACACCAAACAACCAGGCCAGGTCGCTTTCAAGTGCAAACTCGACATCTCATCCGATTATCTCCTTCCGTATGGTAGTATCAAAGGATGCTTTGTCGAATCACACGGTTGAGTGCACAAGTACGCTCAAACCCGACTAGAACATAACTCTAATTCCCACCGAGAGACTTTAAAAAATACATAAATGTCTGCGGATGAATCAGTCAAATTACGCTGTTCCATCTAGAGTCAACCCCCCATGCTTCAACCGAAGAAGTCATCTACGCTCGGTCCTGTCGGCTTCTTCACGTCCTCCGTAATAGAGGTTCCAACCTGATATAAACAGATCTCCAAACGCGACTATCCAACTCCTTCTTACAGCAACATCCCCGTTACCGTTTTCTCCTTGCACATCTACGGGAATGAGCTTCCAACCATAGAGCGAAGGTAGCATCTACAGACCAGGGGAGACGATTCATGTGGTGACACGCAGAGTGTCACCACATAGGATATACATCCATAAGCCGAGCAATACAGGTTATAACACATAACACGTGGGTTATCAACAAATGCGACTGCACAAGAAATTATCACGGCGACTCGATCAACTGAGTAAGCATCCGATGTTTTTCCCCGGGACAAAACGTTTCCACCCCTTATATTTTTCAATTGTTACGTAACACGATCTTACAGATTCCATAACCGTTTGCATTGCTTTCAATTCTCCAGCAGTAGCCTCAACGGACACTTTTTGGACCTCTTGCGAATCTTCCTGCAACAACCACAAGATTCCCAAAAAACCAGACCACAAATCTCCCCGATAACCTCAGGCTTCTGAGCTACTGATATGAGAAGCCCTTCGCCCCCAGCTAGAGGCTCCAATTCGATCTTACAGGGAATGTTGGGATCTGCGTACTCGGGCATCTTCCAGAACGTAGCTGAGAAACAAAAGGAAAATTAGATATGGAGCACGCGAATCACACTGCTTACCAACAACAGTAACAGTAACAACAGTAACATCGACAACAACAACAACAGTAACAACAGCAGTAACGACAGTAACAACAGTAACAGCAACAACAACAACGACAACAGTATCAAGTAACGATACTATCAAATATATGCATCCCAATGTGGGTTAATTAGAATGACGGAGATAACGGACACGAATCCTATTATCCTTTCTCCCACTGTTTCCTATCATCTACCGACTACTCTCCTTGTCTCCCCATATAAACCCCGACCAGACTTCACTACTACCTAACGAGAGCTTAGTAGTAGTGGTGGCCTGCAGTAGGGAACCGATAGTCGTTGGTGGTAGCGACACTGTAATACCTGAGGGAATACTCCACATATGCTTTAATTGCGGAGCGAGCGAAGCGAGCGGAGCGTATTCTCTCACTTTACTAACACTTTGTGCGTGCGTGCGTGCGTGCGTGCGTACAAATTATCCAGCTCAATCTAGGGAGGTTATGATCACATGCTATACACCATTCGATAGCTCTCGCTCTGGGGATACTAGGAAAAATACGAAATTAGGGTTCCGCCCGGACCATGTAGATTTCCGTGCAAAAAACATATTTTTGCAGAAAAACGCCAGGCATGGGAATCGAACCCGGATGCCGAGCTCCGCCCCTTCTCCGAGAAGGCCTAGTACTAATGCCAAACCGCAAGACCCTGAAGACCATCTTTGCGAAGATCCCCGTAACTGACTAACCGGAATTTTTCACTCACTTTCTCCGAATATTCCAAACGCATACTATACTTTCCACGCTACTAGATATGGATATATCAAAAATCCGTCTCTCATCGTGAGACCACAAAAATAGCATTTTCGCATCGCACTATCATAGTGCTGTCGAGACAGATCGTGTGCTACTCGGTTTCATTGTGTATGTATGTCCAATATATAAAAATCTAAAGCATCCAAAGAGACCTTTACGCGCTACCAGAAACCTCATCCTACAGCACTTCCCGGAACCTTCGCTCAAATACTCCACATCGTATTCACCATAATTCTCTAACTTCAATTTCCACCAGCATTACCCTTCGCAGAGTTATTCCCAGTAAAAGTCCATTTGATTCTGCCCTCCCGTGCCACACTAACAGCACCATCATCTTTCCTCTCCAACTTCGGCTGAAGGACCCTTCAAACACATCCTCCTTTCCAAAACCACATTACCATGATCGCTCTAACGTCCAATTTCGCATTTTTTCCTCGTACCGTAAACCCATCAAACATCCCACTGTAAACAGACCCACCAAAAAACGCGCGTGAAGGAACCCTATTCGCCGCTGTTGCTAAACTTCGTGTTAAGTACATTGATAACGGAACTACCGCCGATCGAATGACAAACTAAACTCAACATTAGTTTTCCAAAATGCCAACCAACAAAAGGCTCAACTGATAATAACTATTCTCATCTAATAGGCTTCATTGATATCTTCACATTTATCAAAAACTTTTCCCCTCATCGTTATAAGCCCGCGCCGGCTCTGGCTTGCAACACTCCCATCTTAATCTCGTCGGTTACGCTCTTCTGCGAGTTACTCACGAACACCGTATTAGCCTTTGAGGAGCTTCCGACCTCTTTTAGAGTGTCGAAATATTGCGTTACCAATACCTACACACATGGGAAAATTCCTAAAATCTCAGTCGTATATCCAGAAACACCATTCTGCTGACACTTTCATGTTGCACTACTCATACTACGAACATGAAATGACACGACCAGTTACAGAGTACATTATGAAGCGAAAAATGCGCAGTATTTTCAACCAAAATCGTTCAAGCGATTCCCGTCCTCCTTTCTACCAATTCCAACACATCCTTTGCGGACATCTCATGAATAGCCTCTTGGAAATCTCCTACTGATTCGCGTAGACCATCAACGATCGCCTTGCGCTGCCGGGCCACTCCTAAAATGATAAAACATAAAAGATAAACAGCCGTAGTCAGAAGAAGCAAAAAAGAACATCCATTCCTGATCCTAGTGAAAACTACCACAAACACGATTGGTCATCTTTCTCTCGAGAGACGCGCTATAATACATTTTGCGAGGAAGCATGAAAAAGAAAACTACATCACAGAATTCCACCCTCATTGCGTCGAGTCGCGTAAAACTCTGTGAAAAACGCGATTTTCGCGCTATGGAGTGGTTTTCAAGATTCCACAATCACTATTATTTTATATATCGCGAATGAGACTCCAATAACTACACTTCTAATATAACGAGACAATCTATTCGACTGTACCCTGTCCTTGCAGGAACTTCGATTCGGCCTCTGCTTCTGCTTGCTTCACAATGACGACCTTTTCCGCCTCAGCCTTCTCAGTAGCCGCCACTCTGAGTAACCAACATAACCCCAACCGACAATCAGCAAGCACGACACCTCAGCCTGCGGTTGGCGTTGATCTCGTTCATGGCATCCCTAACTTTACGATTAGGAGATATGTCAGTTACCAAAGCCTGATTGATCTGGAATCCAAATTCACCCATAATCTTCTGCAACTGATCCTTCACTTGTTTGGCAACCTAAAACAGGGCAGGGCTCATGACCGACCCTTCAGACGATCGAATAACAATTCAAAAGTTATTCCATTTACAGTGCCATGTACACTTTCATAGAGTAAACTCTCAAAGACACCATATGGATGTCTAAATTGAGCTCACTCGCTCCTTGTGCGCTGCTGTGATACTGGTAGATCTACATAACGTAAATAATTAACATTAAAATACAACTGTGCGCAGATCCATCAACACGGCACGTGTCTGTACAACTCCTATTTTCAATGCGATACGACTACTAATTATGCATTGATATTTTCAGTCTGCAATCCTTTCGAATTTACTATCCACAATGCATACAATACGCCTGGCTGCAAGCGGCTACGATAACATCATCATTTATATGCTCCTACTAATGTTATAGCAACATTATCGGCTATATGTTGCATTGGTGTTATATCAACTCCGTCGCGTATTTTTTGATATAGTCGTTATAGCAAGAGCGAATAGTGATACACAAACTACTATCCTTACCTCGTCTTTTGATTCGAAGACGTCATCAAGTAGCATGCCAGGCACCGTCGATCGAACCACATCAAATACGTACGAGTTGATCTGTACTGTGGGGTTGTGAAGGCGATAGAAAGCTTCGTAGATCTTCGCCTTGATTACTTCATATTGTACGGCTACCTAATGGGAAAATATGCACACGATCAACTACAAATGTTGGTGACAATTACAAAAATTCTGGAAAAGAAATCCCTTTAGTTCCTCTACACTCCTACCCGAATGCATATGTAAATTCTATCATTAGTGGGAAAACTCACTGAGCTCAGCTGAGGAGAGCGAACACTTACTTGTATGCTAACAAAGACGTTATCCTTAGTCTTCGTTTCGCAGGTCATAGAAGTCTCTTGAATTCTCACAGAGACATCCCCGGCCCTCACACAGATACAGGGTATCGGCAAACACAGCAAACCTGGCTGGCCGAGACGGTCGAACTTACCGAATCTGCATAAAAAAATAAATAAACAAGCCAAGAAGAGTAACTCTACCTTGTGATAACGGCAACACGATCGTTGGGGACGGTCTGGACGCAACCCATGCGGTTACAATTAATGAAAGAGGCTTAAAATACGTGATAGCTCAAGTCGTTTCCTTTCCGCGTCACTGGTCACATAATCGATTACAATGGCGAGCGCGATATTCTCGAGCGCCCAGGATACAGCCCGTCTCTATGAGATCGTACAAAGAGTATCTTTGAAGATTCATTCCTAGGTCGGCTAATGTCCATGCGGCACCGACGAGAGGCGATGCAGGGTGGTGACAATGAGGAATATATTTCCATACCACACTCTATTCAAATTCAACTAGACAAGTATGAGATCACTGTCACCCCATCATTTACCCTACGCCGCCTCAGATACCGTGGAGCTCTCCGAAACACGTTCATCCACTTCCCATTAGAACCCCAGCCCGAGCGCCCTAGCAGTATGCCAGGCCCGGGCCTTACAGACTCTGTCACTAGAGCTGCTCACACTTTACTTTACAAAAACCAACCGGTCACCGCTTGTCATCATGACGCCATCCTAGACAGGGTAAGCCAACTGGAGTAAATACGTTCGAGTATCGAGATTTTCGTAGATCACCGACTCACCGTGTCGAGATCGGGAGGCGAGGGAATCCTTCGCGTTGAGCACAGCAAGCACAGTAGAAAGCGATGTGAAGAATTCTGGTATGGCGCATCATGGTAAGTCGACTAGTGTCTTTTTGGAGGGACAAGACACTTGACGAGATTTAGAAAAAGTGTCTTCATTTCAAGAGCCTCAGGGATCTCCATCGTAGTTTTTTTCATGACGACTCGAGCAGTGGTTTTATTACCGCTGTAGTGTATCGGTGTACGTAGGGAATGTACGAGGACGGTTTCGCGATATTCTTTCGAGTGACAAATTTTACGACAACACCAAGTATATCGCGCTTTATGTATATGCGCGTTTTTGGCTATAAGACGGTTTGCTCAACCTACTTCGCGATTTTCCCATGATTTTTCACTCGTGCTGAATGAATCTTCACGCTGCGTTCAATTGAGTATCTTCAAGGTTTGTCGAGTACTCTCGCTAATCCTCCTTCTACTGCTGGGGATTGTACCCCTACCACTACCTCGGCTGCATCAGATAGGAGTAATAGAGGAGGCCGGAATGGTCGAAGGTGAGCTAATCATCTTGGTCACGGATAGAATATAACAATTCACAATTGCAGGTTACGGCGTTGTCGTCAATCGATAGAGATATCTCTCGAGAATCCAGGCAGTCGTCGACACGACACTGCTGATTGCCAACCCTGCCATTTCGTGTTCACCAGTATGACGCGACTACTCTCACCTTTACATATCTCCTCCTCCTCCTCAGCATTGGGATGCCGACATAATCAAAACTGTCCATTTTGCCACCATCCTTCGCACTGTTCGCGAGAGATGGTCGATAGTATCTTCCTCAATGGTAATTACCTGCACTCGTCTCCCTATATCAGCCTTACAGGTTCTCAAGCCTTGACGGTTTCGTTCAACAGGAGCAGCAGCCGACCTTCCGTAAATCGGACCGTCACTTGATTATCCTCTTAAATTGACAACGTGATTGTGCTGTGACTACCGCATTCACTACGAAAAGCGTATCATTACTGAGTCCTGTTACTGAGGCAGTTGAGTGCAAGCATGAGTTATAGTAAGTGCATGTGAATGGTCACTACCTCAGTTGTGTACCATACCAATTTGAAATGCTGTTGAGTTGTATACAACTTCAATACCTCACGACGACCGTTTCACTTCAGTATGTGGTCGTCCATTACTACTCTGTGTGCGTTTCTCTTATGAGAGTGCGATGAAATTTTTTGTCGGCGAATATTTATACGCTTGATCAACATGATAAATATACAAATATAATGAATATACACTGAGAGTTAGTTAGGCGCGTGTCAATACGACCATGCAAATTCCTCGAGCAATTCTGTCGTCCACAACCCAGATGGCCGAAAGCAGCTTCTTAACCGAACAGGGAAAGGCTATGATAGTGAACTGCCTTGCTAAGGGCATAAAAAGGCTGGAAATCACGAGGAATTTGGACGGTTATTATCGCCACTGTCAGCGACAACGACGAACTGCTTATCACAGTGAATTTTTCACTGATACCACTATGGTAGAGTGAGCAGCGCCGAGAGTCTGAAGCTTATTAGAAACCCTCAACTATTCTTGTTCCTATTCATCTTCGACCGTATTATCTCTGATAAGTATGTCGAGTATTCACCAAGTCGCCTGGCCAAGCGGCGACAAAGAGTAAGAGAAGAAAGAAACCGTCTCCGGAGAGCTCATACAATTCCAGAATTATGTTGAAGGCTTTGATACCCGAATTATCATTCTGGTGAGTTGGGCGAATGAGCAGAACCAAAGTGAACATGTCTCTCTCGTGAACGCAGCTGACTGCTCGATAACGGCATTGCTTTTAGCGCAAATTACCGTAAAACTGAAGTGCGCAATAACAAGCTCTCAGGAAACGAACACACTGGTGACAGACATGAGGTCAACCGGGCAGTTTATCGGGCGCCCCTGTAGCTTCTCCAATCACATTGATATTATCAACAGCAGCTGCCCTGTCGTGTGATCGGACGCTTTTTAAGTTCAACTCAACGATGACAACAACCTTTTGAGAATAAATAAACTCCTTCGATCAACCCAACATCCCCTACCTCCATCGTGCCTGGCTGAGCGTCAATCACTCTGATGTCATCTGGTGAATATCCAAGTTGTTTCAAATGCCTAACACGATAACGAAAATTCAACTCAGGTGCTCGAACACAATTGGTCATCACGAACATCTTCGCACTGCTTACCCGACGTCCTTCGATAAGCCTTTAGGATCAGTAAATACTCCAACGATTCGTTTCACGGCAGATGCTCTCAGCCACCGTCGAAAGAGCTTCGGCAAACTCCCTTCCTTCTCGCTGAGGAAATCAAATTTAACGTAGTGCTGAATCGAATTAGAATTTACCTCTTTTTTGACTTGGGTGGAAAACTAATGACAACGACGTCGGGAGACGGCAAAGTTGAAGTTCGCCAGTCTTGACTCCGAGAGCGTACAAGTTCACGCCTAAGGTGAATATAGGAGCCGACAGAAGAGCTCTTTTTCTCACTGAGCAACATCTTCTGCATCACCATCATCCTCACCAGAGCTGCTGCGAGCCGTTAAGCTTATCTCGAATACTGGACCTTCCTCGTTCAACTGTTCTATTGCATCTTTATTAGTAACAGTGAGATCCTGAAAGGCCATACTGTTCCGAGGCAGTGTTGAAATATATATGTTTGCTTCCATCAGCTGAGCTTAGGAGCTTCCTCACTAACTATAGGAGTTCATATACGGATCTGGGCAGACGTACACAGACTCTCAGAGTTTTCATATTGTCACCTACATACGTGTTCGACCATGTGCATATTTTACCACACTGGTCCGAGGGGGCGACCAGCGTCAACCTACTGTGCTGGCGTCATCCTTGTCTCCTCCTTCCTTCTCCTTGGCTTTATCAAGAGTCTCCCAACTGTAGTAAGGGCGTCCAGCTCCAGGGAGGGCCGGGGCTCTCTCGACCGGCTCAACACTAGGCGACAGTCTTCTTTCCTCAGATTCGGCCAGCTGCTGCTGCACTCTAGTTGGTTTGTCCTAATATAAACTCCTACAACAATACATCCATTACATCTATAATGACTATTACTATACAATACGATTCGATCTAGTTCAGTATAGTTCGCAACTATAAGGGTACTAGTATATTCATATTTGTTTTATTCTCTTGCTCTCTCCTTACAACGAGTTCTGTACGGCCATGTAAGAGCACATCACGAAGTCTGTGTTGACGCCTCGCAAGTCAACACGATACGCCGATTATTCGAAGAATTCGGCCAAAAATACCGCAACTCTGCAAAAAACTAACATTTTAGTTCCATAGACTATATTCGGCCACATTATCATCATCAATACACTGCATATGAAAATAACAATGGAGTTTCACCCGTTTTACGGGAAGTGACGTAATACTCTGCGGAAAACGCGATATTCGCGAGGAAAATATTTCCCACTAGTGTTATTCAGATCACTAGCGAAACTCCAAGGTATCAACGCATTCCCTCTAGCCGTTACTTTGTTCATCAACCACATGTAGGCAGCATCCACAAGCTGTGATTCTCTCTCAGCCTCTTCAGGGGTTTGTATGACGTCATCAGCCGCTTCCCCGCGGTCTATTCTCGACCGGACTTTTTGATATCTACCCTATTAATTTCCATACCACTCCTCTCCCAACTCGTCCCTACGCTGCTGTAATATTCTGCTGCATTTGCGGTGTTAATTCGATCATCCACGGTTGTTTTATCGGCAACAACGGTTGCAACCCCTCGGGCGTTTTCGTCGATCGTAAATGCCTAAGTGAATACCCCACAGGAAGCTCACTTTAGTAACTCCTATACTTGCTATATACATACATTCACCATTCGCCGTATTCCATACTTCCATAACAAAAGCGCGCGCCCAGTATTTCAACTCACTTCACAAGAATATTAAATCGTTTGTCTCCTTCCACAGTGCCCTCTGCTAGAGCCAACTTAGCCTCAGCTTTCAGCACTTCAGACACTTCTGTTGGTAACTCTGTGAATTGCCTTGCATGCTTTCTCTCCTGCATGGAATACATGTATATGTGAACCCATATACTTTTACTAGGCTTTTAGTTCTGTTGATCCCCTGGACAACGCCGAACCCTCGGAGTTTTCGAGCATCCTCTAGACTTGTGTAAGCTGTCTCCAACAACTGTAACGCTCTATTACGGTGGATGTGACCAGAAAGGTAGCTGAGCATGACGGCATCCTCCATAATATGAGAATAGTGATATTGTTGTGATTAGTGAGTTCTGTAGTATATGATTTCTACGAAAAAGGTAGCGAATTTTCAAACAGTACAAATGAAACAAAAACAGCAATGAAAACAGTCAATACCACACCTCTCTGAACCTCTTTCTAATTGCTAGTCCATAGCACTTGCAACACATAGCATAACAGCTCCCACTCACACAAGAGTCTCCTCACGGTAGATGTTGGCCAAAACTGGGGTCACATTTGCAGCTAATTCAGGATTCAATTTTAGGTTTTCCTTCAAACCATTGACACTAGAAAGGAGAACCGTGAGAAACCGCGCGCCACGAAATTCATACCGGGTTCGAGAAGCATCGATAGCCACTATATGCCTGCACTTCCCTGCAAGCGTCAAGGACGTCACCCCATTGCCAGCCCAGAGATCCCAAACGACGTCTCCTGTAAAGTGATAGTAGTAGTAGTAGTAGTAGTACTAGCAGTAGTGGTAGTAGTAGTACTAGCAGTAGTGGTAGTAGTAGTAGTAGTAGTAGTAGCAGTAGTAGTACTAGCAGTAGTGGTAGTAGTAGTAGTAGTAGTAGTAGTAGTAGTAGTAGTAGTAGTAGTAGTAGTAGTAGTAGTAGTAGTAGTAGTAGTAGTAGTAGTAGTAGTAGTAGTAGTAGTAGTAGCTTTTCTCGAGTAACTCACCTTTCTCAGGCCGGGCGAACTCGGAGACCGTGTCGAGGATTTGTTTATGAATTGTAACGTTAGACCAGAGGACGTCACCAACCCCAATCTTGATGGGTATTTTCCTCTGACCCACCATTAGTGTGTGAGGAATGTACGGCTCGTCGCCATAAAGGAGCTAAAATCACAACAACAACCTCAGAGAAAAAAGGTAAACAATTTCAGCACGGAACAAGTAAGCGTGGACTTCTACCACCTCTCAATGAATGTCAATAACAGAGGAAAATTATATGTTATTATTCACTAAGTAATTTGCAATTTGCAGTCATATTCAAGTTCACACAAAATGTCGTCATTGAGAATAACGCGGTATCGATTTCTGTTGAAGTATGGTACAACATTTATTCAGCCGATTCCATTTTCACTCATTCGTTCATTTATTGAAGTTTCACCCTAGTGATATGTAAAACACTAGTGATAAACATATTTCACGACTACTGAATACCACGAATATCGCGTTTTTCACCGAGTTTTACGCCATTTCACGTAAAACGGGTCGTGAAACTCCATTAGTGAGAATGTAATAAGAGTTTACGGTGAACATGAGCTGGGAGTTAACCGAAAAAACGTAGTCCATACGGTGAGCGATAACTGCTCCGAATTCCGCGAGGCTGCGAATAGAAGTTCACCATTTGGTTGCGGTCATCTGACTTTATGTTGAAACCCGGGTAGTAAACTCTATCAACTCTGTTCGCCACGATAGCTCTAACTTGTGGTATCTGATCTTGCACGCATGCACAACATAAGAGAATCTTAACTTCATCATAGTGCGCTACCCACCTACACCTGTCAAAGCATCAACTAGTGGCTGCATCCTTTCCCTATCGAGTTCCATCGTGAGAAGTATGTTCACCAACATGTGGCGTCTCCCATCAGCATCCTTACCCACGTGGAAGCTGAGGCCCATAAAGTTACCTCGGTGCCGCCAAAAATCGTATCTACGAAATGCAAAACATGAGCAATTTTCCGAGATTGATAATAATCGATTTGAAACTCTCTATGACCACTTTCCACATTTCAATACTAAATAGACCCGTACCATACTGTACCCAAAACACGACACTGCTGTTCTTGTAGTACTCCATCTTTGTCGGTACTACAGCAACACTCATCAGTGTGGGAATATAGTATGCACATGGTCAACTACATGTGTTGGTGACAATATGGAAATTTTGGTACTCTTTCCACACTTTTACGTGAATTCGTTGGTTAATCTTTTTCACGATGTAAATATATTCATAGTATTTTGACTACATAATACAATCTGACTCATGGAGTGTATATTTCCTTACTAGTCGTATATAAACTTCTATAAGTAGTAAGGAAACTCCTGAGCTCAGCAGCTGAGGAAAGCAAACATATATTCCCCAAACCCTGGCAGTAGCTCACGCGCTGTAATATTCCCTATCAACAGTGTACTGTCGAGCTAGCACTTCCATGATGACTCGTTCAGCTTCGGAAGTAGGAGGCTCCTTACGAGGACATCTACCTCCTGTTGTGATTCTGATTCACACAAAACTTTTCGGCATTTCCTTCCAAGGTGGTATTCGCGATGAAAACTTAGTTTTCTTACGAAAGGGATGCTCAACCGTAAAACTAATGATATCAGTGAAAACCTAATTTTCGATATTTGATTTAAGCCTGGATTTTAATATAAGAAGATGTTCGCTACCCAAGTTGCGTTGCTGTTGCCTTACATTTCTCTCCTCTCTCCAGGGGCGTTCGCTTTTCGAGCGTAGTGGCCAATAACGGGAGGGTCCCATCTGTCGGGTGAATGCATAATCTGTGAATCTGATTATTCACAACAGATTGATTCTCCAAAGTCCGACGACGTGAGTTACAAGTTCGATGTTCTTTGTAAGGCTCAAGACCGCTAGCTATAATAGGGAGTAGCCCGTCGCTATCTTGCTTGTGTTCAAATTGGTGTGGTATGATTTCCGTCAGCAATTTTCTTTTCCACAGAAGCTGTCTACAAGAAGGGAAATACAATTTTTACCATTGTTATTTTTACTCACCTTTGGTACTGTAAATGAGGTATCTGGCAACCACTACAACTAAGCTCATCATGACGTTTATCGATAACGCGCAGACCTAACAATGAGCAGTATTGAAACAGTGTTGGAGTTTCACCCGCTTTACGTAAAGTGGCGTAAAACTCTGTGAAAAACCCGAAATAGTGTTTTTATATCACGGATGAAACTCCATCACTGGAGTTGGAATATATGTTCGCTTTCCTCAGCTGAGCTTAGGAGTTTTCTCACTTACTATATGAGTGCATATACGAATTCGGTAATACTACAAGTAACAGAGCTATAGTAAAAAGTCCTAGTAAAAAATTCCCAAAATTTCCATACTGTCACCAACACATGTAGTTGAACATGTGCACATTTTACGAAATGCCACAAACTTTTTTCTCACCTGTTCTTCAGGAATCTCATAAGGGGAGTCTTTATGATAATCCAATATATCAGTACTGTTCATCCACAGCTTTGGCGATCCTGCAACAGAAGTAATCGATCACGGCAAGGGTAGATGCCCTATTTCGGACATCATCTGAATCTTTCATCATCGACCTCAAGATATGTTCACGATCATCAACTACGACAAGTGCTTACCAAAACTGCCGGGCTCGACAGCGTAGTTCCTTCTAGCGAAAACGTGAACGAAAACTTCGTTGTATTTCTTGCCATTGCCGCGGACCTGAAAATTTGAGACGTAAGAAATATTCATAACAATTACGAAAATATATTTCAACCAGTTTCACTCCATCGGAAATTATTGTTTATATTATTTCCAAATCGGATCGCGATGATTTATTTTTTAAAAGGGATACATGTTACGAATTATAACACCTTATTTCAGAGTAAAATTAATAAACTTTTCTCTGCTGTTTTCGATCTAAATAAATGCATTTCATCTTTACTCCGCCAATCTTCACAGTGACAGTTTCTCCAGGTAGTGCACCGGGGACGACGAGCTCCGTATCGTTAAAGGAACAGCCTCGAAATCTATTCCATTCAAGAGTTGTTCGACCGTTACCTAACGATGACCATCAACAACACTATTGCTCTCCTCGAACATACCATCAGCGTCGAGCCTCTCAATGGGGATGTTTTCTATGAGCTCTCCTCGCTTCACCCGACCCCGCACTCTGAACGACCTACTGGTCACCAACGCATACAGACCGTTGGGAAGTCTCGGTGTTGACGATAGCCGTAATAACATTTAAAATATTATAGTGAAAGTGGCGAGAATAAGACTTTGAGGAAAATCAGAAAAAAATGATGTTTTTTTGCCATGTCGGAAATTCTTTTCTGGTACATTTCAAATGACGACACCATCAGCAAAACCGCCTGAATGCCCATGAGAAATGTCGCGGTCAATTTAATATTTTGCCGGAAATTTATAATAATTTACCTACTCCTTCCGGGGAAATGTGCATTTTTTCAAAATTTTTACGGACGGTTTTTGATGAACTGCCCAAAGTTATTAGTGGAGTTTCACCCGTTTTACGCGAAGTGACGTAAAACTCGGTGAAAAACGCGATATTCGCAATATGGGGTAGTCGTGAAATTTGTTTTTCACTAGTGCTTTTCATATCACGGCCGCCCGTGAAACTCCAGTGAAATAGCTGATTTTTTTCAAAACGTACCGACTCCTATTAACGACGTTTGTGGTGACCATAATTCCATATAGTAAATTCAACAACAACTTTATAATATCGTAGACTTTTCACTCAGTGATTTTCCCTGAAATTTCGAAAAAAAATCTAAAATTACCTGAGTTCGTAGAGATTTGGTATTTTCAAAGAAATTTTGCTGGTCACAATGAGTTCATCCGATAAAGTGGAGTTTCACTCGTAATAAAAAACACATTTAACATCATAATTTCCGCGTAAAATCGACAGCCCACGTTTCGCGTGTGAAGCAGTGGTGAATTGAACAACTCCGACGGTGTTGCTTATAAACCATTTCGTTCTGTGTTCATCATGGTCAAGAACTTCATACAAGCTCTCCTTACGTCCAGACTGAACACATACCACAGTTATACCACATATATAGTTACATAAACTTCAACTTGAAGAATCACACGAGTACCTTGCCTCGAATATACTTCCAATAGGAATGTTTCCTATCATCTCCCACCACCCTGGTTTCTCTAGACGAGTCTATAGTCATAGCAACGTCGTCATTCACTACAACGACCATGCTGTAAATGTCGTCTCCCCCGAAATACTTTACAACCCAACAGGCTTCTACAATGAGTATTCACTCCTCTGTACACTGTAGTTGTACAATACTCTTAGTAACGTCATCAGCAACGAACATCATTCCCTTATCGATAGCAATATCAAGTGGTATTATACCAAACATTCTCTCAACAGGAATAGCCTCGTTATCATTCAAAGAGATCTCACACAGAGTGTTGTTTGGCAGCGTACCGAAATACGCTCGAGGGCCCCCACAACCGAGTCGTCTGCTATCATCAACTTCCACCGATATGGGTTCGCCGTTCATACGACCAGTTAAGTCGCGACCAACAGGATCGTCACCGCGCCACAAAATTAAACGCTTGTTGTCAGTGTCAGCCACCAGTAAGCATTCTCGGCCTTCTTTGTCGGTGAAAACGTCAAAGTCCTCAGGAAGGGATAATCGCATCACAAATTCGCCGACTTTCGACCGATACATAGTTCGAATAGAAACGAGCTCTAGTTCGTCACCAACCCGGTGCGTGCACAAAAGTGATGAATTTTCGTGATCTAGTATGTAGATGAAACCAGTCTTGGAAGAGTACTTAATCGCTGGTATACAGTAGCCAAGGTCGAGGTTGGCAGTGTCTAAGATACGGATCATGTCCGGATCGTGCAAAGATACCGCGGTGACTCGTTCGAGTTGTTCTCGTTCTGTCACCCCTCGAGGGTGAGTAATAAGAACTTCGTTGAGACTCTCGTCGATGCATATAGAAAAACACATCCTTGTCAACTTGCTGATCAGCCGACTTTCATGCCACTCTTCTATGGTACTCGATTGGACCTCATCCGTATCTTCATCGCTCAACCTTTGGATACGCGTCACATGCATCTCGCCATTCTTACAGCTCTTCAACGGAACTTCGCGAACCTCCAGTTTGACCGAATCTACTATTATAAGATTATCGGAATCTTTCGTAACGCACACGGAAGAATCCAGATCCAAAATACAATCCCGTGCAACCGTACGGACCACCTCGAGGGGTCCAGGACGCACCCGACAAAAGTCCAAAACCGACAAGGCATACGGAGTGAGATCGATCAATCCATGGCTCGAATCACGAAATGCTCCCCAACGTGAAATCGCTGCTAAATTGAGACAAGCACGTTCTTGAAGAGTGGTCATCACAGAAACACTAAAAAGTGAAATCATGCATCATTTCTACGGCGGAGCGAAGCTCTTCTTCTGCCAACATCAATAAGCCCAACCTTCCCGACACATCGAAGGGGAATTATCAAAAACGCGACTTCGTGCATCATTTTTTGAGCGGAGCGAAGCTGCACCACAAACAACACAACAGACGGAATTGCGCTGAATTGGAACTATTCTGAAAACTAAGAATAAAATGGTCACTCCAATATTAGCATGCGTTCGAGGTCCGATCCTGAGAAACTAATCCGTAAATCTTTACCGCGCGCCACAAAATTACCTTCAGTTTCCACCACACCCACCAACCCATGTCGTTGTTGTCTCAAACAGTGACGATATTCACAGACTACCAGGAAACTCCAATCTATCTAAGGAGTGCTTATGGTGATTTTTCCATAGTAGTGATAACTACCCACAACACATACATGTCTATGGCGATCCATATCACCGAGAATATTGCGCTAGAGCTGAGCTCCAACCCAGAGCCTGAGGGGAACTCTATCGCGTTGATGATGATGATTTGATTACAGCAGACCGTCCAGTGTCCATCAAAAGTGTTCGAAGCCACCGATAGTGGTATTAATCCAATCCGTAACTGACGTGGAAATGAAAATTCCAAGAGAAAATTTTGGGAATTTTTTGTTCGGTTTCTCAACGCTTCTATTCGAATTCGTATGTAAACTTCCGAGAGCTCAGCTGAGGAAAGCAACCATATATTTTCCAATGTTCTGATCCGTGATGATTTCAATTCATTTGCCTTTCCCGGAAATACATGCTTCCCTGTGAAGACCCCCTGTTATTACCACGTATAGAACAGTCTTGATGGATGCATACACTCGTATGAACGCACACCCTAGAGTAGATTTCCTTCTCCGATATCCGCATAGTCCTATTGTCATCTGAATGCCCGCCTCGCGTGACAAATTCGAAAAAGAGAGCACTACTACCACTATGATGATGACTATAATAAATCCTATACTTTGATGTATGTAGGATGCAGTAGCGACTCCAGGCACTCCTCCGAAGACCCACGACACTACTAGTAGGATCGCAAAGAGGTCCACTGACAGTGATATGAGAAACTGAGAAACACGACATCGTTACGTATACCCTCAGCTAAGCTCAGTGTTAAGTTTTTTCACTAATCATTGCATATTATATATGAACTAGGGTAGAAGTGCACAGAAACCAATAAGGACCTCTGAAAATTTTCTCGAGATTATCATGTTGTCACCAATTCATGTCGTGGATATTTGCCCAACAACGACTACATCGTAAGGAAACTATGATGAGAAGCTCTTTCCGGCACAGCGCTTACAGCACAGCTGTTTGTACACAAAGTTTACGAATTCGTATCCGATATTGCGATGTAGAGTAGGGAGGAAATGACGAAATAGGTCTACTACTACTACTACTACTACTACTACTACTACTACTATTACTACTATTACTACTACTACTACTACTACTACTACTACTACTACTACTACTACTACTACTACTACTACTACCCCTCTCCTGAGTGATATTCCCGGTATGAAGTAGGATGCAATGCTCAAGTATATACTGTCACAATGACAGAGTCGGCTCATAGTGTTGCTATCACAGCATCCCGGGAAGAAGTACCTAACATTAACGATCATCACATGAAGTCGCTATAGAGTTATTTTCAAGGGAAATGTAGTAGTAGAAGTAGAAGTAGAAGTAGAAGTGACAACGTCGAAGAGAGCAAGCCTATCACGACCTAAGGAAAACTACACGCTATACCTTCTAGAATATTCTCACTACTGCCAACCCTACTCCAGGTAGAATTCAAAATCGACAACTACTACGGTGCTACATGCGTTATCATACAGTTTTATACTTCATAACAGGATGTATACAATCTATAGCAAAGACGATTAACATATCTAGAGCAGGATACTTTCCTTAGTTGACACGATAGTGTTACTACTAAGCTCATAATGTTTCATCTGGCCAGGTTACTGGAGTACACTAACACTAATCTTTACCATTAATATAGTTATGCTTCGTATTAGCTATTGAATTCACCGCAGTCTAGTGATGTACATCTTTATGCAAGAAGTTGTAGTAGATCATGATAGCAGCACTGAGGCTAAGTGTGATCACGATCACGAGCAGATTACAAGTACAAGTGTCGGAATTGTCGAGTTGGAAAATTGGGGAAATTCTCTGGAGCAAAGTCTAACTAATACGAATCTCCCCCGACTCGAAATCCGAAATCGAATACGAAATCGAATACGAAATCCGACTCGAGTTCATCCAAACTACGAGTGTCTACTAGCAGTAGTAAGACTATCGCGGAACCTGACTTTAATACTATTAAAAGGTACGGCTGACCTTAGCATAACTCCTCTAGGGCGTCTTGAGGTCTGGATGGACGACGGCATGGGCTTATACCGTAACAAGCTGATACTTTTAAGTATATATAATTAATAAGAATAAATATATTAAATAGTTCATCGGAGTTTCACGACCCGTTTTACGCGCTATTCGCGGTGATATGCAGTAGTCGTGAAATATGTTTTCCACCAGTGTTTTTTCACATCACGGGTGAAACTCAGTTAATAAATTAATTTGAATAATTAAATATAATATATGTTTACTCGTAGGCCGGGAATTCACACTAGGTATGACAAATGTTTCCACCGAGGAATACAGAGTGACAAAGCAATTCTTCAACAGATCGTTTCATCATCCGAATTGGGAAAGATCAATCGCGCTCGACAGTATCTTAGCACTTACTATTTATTACAACACTATAGTAGGTAATACTACACACAATTCAGTAGTGTGAGTTCTAACACGAAATACAGTGTTGGGAAACTCGAAATGGGAGGGTAATGGCACACCTCGAGAGGGAGCAGCCTCTCGTCAATCACGAGGCGTGATATGAAAAAGATATATCACAATTCTCTTCGCGTGAAACAGTTGTTTTTCGGTCGCGGAAAAATACACGTCGTGTGATTCACATTGAATATTACGCCACTTCACACTAGAAGCGTGAAACCCCTTGTGAGACGCAACAGGGAACAATATCGACCGAAGTTTCCCACCCAAGACTTGTGAACTCAAATACTTCCCAAGAAAGAGGATGCAAAACCAACCATATATAGTTCGCCTACCGCCTGGCGAGTTGACTATTCGCCACATGTGGAATAGGCGGGAACGGGGTGTAATTCTCACAGACTATTACAGCGCACCCGCTTCAAATCGGTACAATACAAAACAGCACAACAGCACAACAGCGGAGTGCTGTTTTCTATTTTGGCCCGTAAGAACCGCACATGCTCTTATGTGTCCGCTGTTTTTAAACGACAAAACAGCGCCAGCTATTTACAAAATCGCACTCTTATCACACATAATAGCACTCTGATTTACAAAAGCGCTCTGACATTGTGCAAAACCGCACTTCTGCTGAAACGCTCTTTTCTCTTGTGCAGAAATGCATTTCAGCATGTTTTTAGAATTTGCTCTTTTTCAATTTTTTTCTTGGCAGAAATACATTATGGCATACGCCCCTCTGCCACTTTTCTGCTCATTTCTATCTTTTTTCTCGCAATTTTTTCTAAAACATCGGCGGGTATGAGAGATTAACTCACCGGAAAGTACTACTTTCTGGGAGCGTTCTTCCGCTACGGGAAGTATGAATTCCTCACTGGGTGATGTTTCATCTGCAATCACCCGGACGATACTTTGACGATGTCCGTACTTACGCAGCTCTTCATTTCTTTCAGTCCTATTATACGCGAAATGTGTCCGTTGTGTGGTTTTTCTGCCGCTTTCCTGTTATGTGCGTGCCACGCGCATACACATGGTCTTCATCTGTCTCTCACATCTGCTATGGAATTTCCCTGCTGCGCGTGCTCCGCTATGCTTTTGTTGATACTACGTTACATAGATGTTCTACACGTACTGTGTTCACGCAACAATACAAGGAGATGAATTGCACTAGTCACTACTTCACCATTCCCACCGACGTTTGTTGTTGCCCTGTATTATTCCACAACTGCTCGATGGCACCCCGAGAAGGTTTCGGCTTGCAAGGTGATATGAGATCCTAAAAAATTTCTCCTAACAATCCAATTTAAGGTGCAACTTTATCAAACAAATAACAAGTAACAGCCAAAGTTACTTAGCAATATATACTTACATTCATGAGGCGCGCTGACTCTGTTCCATTCGATATACACTTGATTTTAAGTTTTCGAAACGCGGGAATCAAGTGCTCAATAACTGTACTATTTCCTCGGAACCTTTTCCGTTGACGCTCGCAACGATGGCATACATAACGCTGCGATGAAGTAAAATCCACAGCCTCATCGGCACACCCTGCAATATGGATTCTCATACCACACGAGTCACAATCGGCCATCGCCCCAAAGTCGCTCCCGCGATTGCAAATATGACAGCAGATTGGTTTAGGCATAGGAACCAAATAACGCAAACTGATAATGAAAAAATTTCCCATTGGAAGACAAGCAAACAATGTTACGGCGAGTAATGTAAAACAATATGAGTGACGACTTCGCTCCGCCGTCAAACGATTGTAGCGATCGCTTCGCTCCGCTAGGCAGTTTCATGTCGACTTGTTGAAACGGCTGAAACGGCTAGGCGTCGAATTCGTTCTCTTTTGCAGTTCTATGATCATATTGCTTTGTTACACTCGCTACTTTCGTCCTTGTCGACCCCATTAGTCGTCCCTTAGACGTAGGTTGGCTTAGTAAGCACAAGCCTTTGGGACACTAGTGATTGTAAGACGACCGTAGCCATCTTGGCTCAAGATCGTAGTTGGGTTCTTCTCCCTCTTCCCTCATTGATTCTTCAACCCTTCTACCCCAAGGATAACTTAGCGATCTGTCTGCAGAAATGCCCGGTTCTTGTGTTAACAACCAGGTTGGTAATCAGCCAGCTCCGCTACATTCTACCGGGATCTCTAATCCCAATCTCCCAGACGACGAGGCCCCCTTCGACGCCTCTCCAAGATCTACTACTTCTACTAACGACGCCAACCGTCACTCAACTCGGCTGGCCAACCTCCCTGCAGCCCCTGGGCTCGACTTCCCTACAAGCAGAGCTACCAAGGGCAAAGATTCTAATTCAAGCTCCTGCTCGAAGATTCCAAGACCCCCGACCCCTAGGGAACTTGCA